CTATACATAAAAAGAATATGTTACAGAATATGTTTTCATTTCCTCTGAAGGTGTTCATAATTTCTGTTGGCTTCTGAATTTACAGGTACCTGTGGAAGCACAGGTAGCCAACTATACCACCAATACAGTATGTTATAAAGTTGTTCTACTGATAGGGAATGATAAGCTACATGGTGGAGACCATGTTGTTGAAAGATGGCTAACAAATGCAATCAATCAATCAATCAATCAATCAATCAATCAAAGCAGCTTTTAAATATGCATATTTACAAAAGCGGTATAGTATATGACTTATTTCACTTTCAGGACTATTATAAATGAGATGCAGAAGGCTGGCACAAAAAAACCACATGTTGTAAGGCTAGGAACCGGACCTATTTATTCAACCAATTTACCTATTACAAACTGCAAAGGGCCAATTTGACATCTGGAATGAGAATGAGATCTGATTCTGTTATTCCTCTCTCAGGAAAAGATTGTGGTGGAATCTTCACAGATTCAAAACATGTTTTTAAAACCCCGGGGTACCCAAAGGAATATGAAGATGACCAAATCTGTTATTGGCATGTAAGAGTGAAGTACGGCCAACGGATCCAAATTCAATTTCTTGACTTTGACCTTGAAGATGATACAGCCTGCATGGCTGATTACTTGGAAATATACGACAGCTATGATGATGTAAATGGTTTTGTGGGCAGGTAAAATTTTCAAATCTTTCAAAATACATGATGTACAAATTGCAAATGATTGGGGGAGGGGGTCAGAGAAAAGGCCAAATTTTTTTTTTTTTTAATCCCACCCAGTCTCAAAGGTCATGTTTACACACACAGAAGCCAAGCAAATAATATATATAAGTACAAACCCAGCTAATAAGTGCCAAATAAATGCTAATAACCACACATTTTTTCCTTGTTTTTCCAACTCACTCCTTTGTCCCTTACCCAGGGGAGCCCATTTTTGACCCAGTCCAACCCATACGTGCTCAGAGGAGGCTGTAATCCCAATCAATCTCCTCTCAGTTCTGTCATCTCTCCAAACTATTAAAGCAGACACAAAACTTTCCCCATTCCTTCCTATTCCCTTACCTCTCATTGAGAAGTAATTCTGACTCTGACAGAAGTCTCCAGATTTTTTTAACTTTTCAGCTCCATGTAGAATGACAATGACAAGAGATCATGGCAGATGAAGTTTGAAACCGCTGAAAACCATCCATCTTTGCCTTAACTTCTTCCATGGGATTTTCTTAATTTCCCTATTTCAGCAAACATTAGTGAAGAGTCCTTTTCCCCAGTACAGTATTTCATGTCCCATCCCAACAGAAAAGGCAAATGAGCATCCTCAGGAGGAAATGCCTGTTTGTGGATATTAATTTTAGACTCTAGTTTTATTGGCCAGGCATGGTGGGGCAGGGTGGGGCCACTCTTTAGATATCTATTACTTCACTGGGTGACATGCTCTTATGACTCTCCTTTCTTTAGATGCTCCCTTGAGAATGTGGGCATCAGAGTAACACCAATAGGAAAAGTGTCCAGCTTATCTCATTCTTACGGGCTCTTTCAAACTGCCAATTTATCATTTTGGGAACAGAATGCTGGACCTGCTTGATTCAGTCCAATATGATTTTGATACGTTCCAACACATGTTGTGATCAAACATGTGCATTATTCAGTGGGAGTAAAACATTTCCTCTCCATACTAAGAGAGCTCCCCAGGGGTGTCTGTAAGGTATGGTCAAAAAAGTCAAGATGGTGGATCCCAATAGTACAATCAAAGCTCCTGTTTATATGTGACACACATAAAAAACAGGAGGAACTTCAACTGTACCAACGTGGCCACCATCTTGACTTTTTTGACCACATCCTGCAGACATCCCTGGGGCTTTCTTTTGCTTGAGGAGCTAAATGCATTCCACTTAGATGTAAGATAGAGGGCATTAGAGAATGGATGCTTTTTTCCTCTTATAAATTACCACCATCCACCTATTTTTCCTATCCTTCACCACATTATACGTTTAGTAGCAGATGTGCAAGGCGTTTTTAAAAAGTATTTTGCAAAGTGAGTTAATGCAAACAAAGCACTTTTCTTTGAACTGCTCAAGCAGCAGCCACATCTTTTCCAATGCTTGCGGGGCTACTCAGAAAATAATTCTCACTGGTCCCTGCATGCCTGTGCATTGCTGGTGATCCCACAGGAGTACTGTCTGTGCCTGCACATGGATCACCAACCACAGACAGCTTTTGAATCAGCTATGCAGACCTCAAAAAAGACACAACTGTCTTAATGCACCAATGAGAGATGCTTAGTTCTAGTAATGCATGTTGCACATCATCTCTTTCAAATGCTTTGCACAGTCTTAGTATTTCAGTTAAATGCACTTCCAAACCTTAGAGGAGTTAATAGCCAGCAGGAACTGATTGTAAAATAGGGAAAGTAGATAAGTAGATGGAGAAAGGATTAGGCATCCCTTCCCTTGGCCCCTTTCCATAGTTCTTTCTCTTTTAAAAATAATGTTGACTCTTCCTTGTAATGGAAAATCTGTCTCTCAGGAGGGCACAGTAGAATATTCAGGGAAAAAAGTAATGGAGAAAATACCTTATGGACCAACTTCTTGGAAGTTAAACGGTCATGGCCTCACTAAGTGAGGACAGCCAACTCTTTGGAGCTGGTGGCCACATTTGAAAATTTTAAAAGATGTTGTGGCCATTCTCACAAAATGGCTGCCAAGCATTACTTTAAAATAATCCACCTCTTCCAAATTCCAAAGCAAGCGCCCAACACCCTACCCTCATCTGAAGGTGCCATTTGATTTGGAAAAAAAATGCAGTAAACCTATCACTATCATTTGACTGACTTATATGGATTATATTTTTCAGATACTGTGGAGATGAATTACCAGATAACGTCATTAGCACAGGTAATGCAATTACCACAGATGAAACTACAGTATAACATTTTCCTCGCAGATTCAAAGAGCTAGAGCCTCCAAACCTGAGTTGCAATAATCTCAATGATCATTTGATTATGTGCCATCAAGTCATTGTCGATTCTTAGCGACCACATAGATAGGTTTTCTCCCATGATGATCTATCCCTAATCTGGTCCTTCAGGTCTTCTAATGGTGCACTTATCATTACTGTAACTGAGTCATCCACTTGCTGCTGGTCATCCTCTCCTCTTTCCTTCCACCTCTCCCAGCATTAGAGCCTTCTCCAGAGAGCTGGGTCTTCGCATAATGTGTCCGAAGTAGGATAATTTGA